AGCGCCTAGTTAAGGTACAATACCTACTCTTAGATCGATACCTACTCTAACCGCGGTAGGAACAAAGCGCCCTCGCGAAGATAATAATAAAGAAGATAATAATAAAGAAGATAATAATAAAGAAGATAATAATAAAGAAGATAATAATAAAGAAGATAATAATAAAGAAGATAATAATAAAGAAGATAATAATAAAGAAGATAATAATAAAGAAGATAATAATAAAGAAGATAATAATAAAGAAGATAATAATAAAGAAGGCGCTAAAGATTAAGATAAAGACCTAGCTATAGACTCGAGCTTCTTACTAGCGCTAGATAATGTTTATCCGAGCATTAAGTCTACGGAAGCCGACGAGGAATTAGTGCAAATAGAGGCTGCTAATCCTATAGCACGTATAACTACTAAGCTACTTAGCTTGTAGCTCGTATTATTACAAGCTATAGAAGACATTAACTAGCCGACTATTAAGGAAGTCGTCGAGATAGCTAAGTATTAACTTTAGGCTAATAAAGAGCCTATTCGAGTCTAGGAAGCTACTACTATACCTAGTTAAGAGTATATCGAAGCCGACGAAGAATAGGCGCCTCCTACTTAGTAAACTAGTCTTATGTTGCCGCCGCCGACTCTAGCTAATATATCTATAGATTAGTCTCAGATCCTTAACTAGAAGAAGGGCTATACGACTAGCGTAATTAATGATTTAGAGATATCCTTTAGTCTATAGCTCTAGGATATAGGCATCTTACGATCCGACTTTACTACGCTATTTAAGATCTTTACTACGTAGGTGCCGGATAGCAAGCTCTTAAAGCTTCTAAAGTCGATCGACACTATTAAGTTGTACCTTAAGTTAGTACTTCTACTGCTTCTATTACGCTTTTAGGAAATCTACCTATAAAAGCAGAAGATACTACCTACTATACTAGGATCTTAGGACTTTAAGACATCCGAGTTACTATACTTCTTCGATCTATAGGAGCTCTTTACCTATATTCTAACGTCCGATATTATAGGAAGTATATATACTAGCTTAGTAGAGCTCGTCGACCTGCTAATTAAGCTATCTTAGTCTCGAGTATAGGCGAGCTCTATTCGTACGACCTCTAGCAAGTTCGCTAGATACCTATAATAGTAAGGCATATCTTATATAGCCTATACTCTAGGCCCTATACGAGGATTAGCTCTATAGTATAAGCCGAAGAAGAAGACCCGTACGCGTAAGGCAGCTCGAACGGACGATAATACTAATAACGAGCCGCTAATACTAGTACCTCCGATTAACTAGAATTAGTTTCTTAGTGCTCCTAGTAGACTAATATTCTCGTTAGACTTTGTCCGCTTCTACTATTAGGATGCTAGCTATAACTGCAAGACGACTTAGGCTTATACTAGACGTATCGTAGCTATTTAGATCGACAATCGTAAGCCTATAAAGCGTAACTCTAAAGGTAATTACAAAGGCGATAAAGGCTCGATAGTAGTATAAATTGTGCTACTTCTTCCATTTAATGCCTTGCTACTGTATATACGCTAGAATCTTGCTAACGACGTTATAAGTAATAAGCTTTTCTAGATCGAAGGCTAATACTACTACGCTCTCGAAACGGATATCCGCCCGTTCGACCTAGGCATTATCGCTATATACTATCTATATAGCAGCAAGATTTTGCCTATACCTCTACTAATAGACAGCTTTAATTACGTTATACGTCGTCTAGTTGCAAGTAGCGGCCTTACTCGCCTAATCTATTAAGTATATCTAATCCGTAGCGAGCTTGAGATTATAGTCTATAGTCGTTAGTACCTCCTTAAGTTTGATTCTTATACTTCCGGCTTGAAAGTTCTTTCGGCTCTATTCTTAATATTTATCGATAGCTTCGGTTTTTATCGTAATATATATCGCTCGTTAATAGGTTAGTATATTATTATAGCCGGCCTTACGATATAAGAGCGCAACTAAACATCTAACGTTATACTATTTACGCTTAGTCCTTATAGTAGTAATACTAAGGACGTCGTAGGCGCTATAGCACCGCGGCTTAAGGAGTTAGATATAGGACAAGAGCTTTCCCTCGGTAGTAAGAAGACCTTAGTATACGCCTCTGTATTAGCCTACATTAGTAATATACTATAGCAGTAAGAGAACTCTAGTATGCTTAGCCTAGGAGCGAATGTGTTATACCGCTAGTATTACACTTACGCTAATAATCGCGGTAATCTCGATGTTGTTAATTAGCGCTTCTATTATAAGAACGAACGTATACGCTAGCACATGTCTTTAATAGTACCGACTATACGAGCAATATTCGGTCGGTAGTACGGTATACTTAGCGAAGCTCTAGTACTCTAATAGCTATCGCTAGCTCTCGATATTATCCTTATACGACTATTAGATCCGAGTTACTTAGAGTTTAAGGGCATAACTAGCATGTTTTATACTGTCTTTCTTGCTAAGATTCTTACTAATAATACGTAGCTCGAGTATAGCAAGACTATTTACAAGTTTCCTATACCGCCTAGCTAGAACCGCCTACAATCTCTACTGCACTATCTTGTATAATATAGCCTTTCCGAGCACGCATATTAGTCTATTATAGCCCTAATCCTATATCGTCTTTAGTTAAAGGATAACTATATCTAGCCGTTATTTCGAGATGCTATTAAAGGTCTAGCCTTATAACAAGGCACTATAGTGCACTAGGTTGCTAAAAGCCTAGCCTAAGAGTATTAGATACCTCCGGAAGACATACTAGTGTCGGCTATTATCGTTCGCTTCCTTACTGCATTAGCTCGTTCGAATGTCTATTTTATATCTAAGAAGACTACCGCCTAATAGCGTATCGATTATATAACTAAGATAATCGCTATACGGCGTATCTTTTAGGAGCTAATAGAGTGTGCTACACTCTCGAACATTAAGAATCTATATATACGACTACGTAGCCGTAGCTATAGTATCCCTATCGCTAGTATATAGCTTAGTTAGACACCTAGAGCCACAGATTAGCAAATAAAGGAGACTAAGGGCGCTACTAAGTATCGAGGCATAGCAAAGCGTCTAAACGTCTATATTAGTTAGCACTATGTAGACATTATCGCTAAGTATATAATAGCTAGCAATCTTAATATACTCGCTAGCGAAGCTAAGTATAAGACTATAAAGTAGTAGATCTACCTTCCTAACTAATACAAGCCTAAGAAAGACCTTCTCGAGCGGCAGGGTCTTAAAATAACTGTACGACTGCTGCTACAAGGTAGTTATAAGCAGGATAAGCTAGAACTATTAACTTAGATTAGTAACCTGTTCGACAACAATCCGTAGCTCTTCGATAGTGTGTTACTACGTTCCGAGTAGGGCAATAATAATAATCGATTAATTCTCGACGGTACGGAGGGTATTCTAAGCGATAACGATTATCTAAATGTTATTACCGGAGGTCGGTTGCTATAGTATTATTATAAAGACTTCTTATTTCTACCTGTTTGCAACGATGCTATAAAGAAGCCTTTTAAAGACGACCTTAAGGCGGCATATTAGTACGACTACAACCGGACTAATTATATACTAGATAACAACGATCCTATATACTAGTTTAAGCGATTTGCCTATAATAACAAGCCTACTTAGCGCCGCACTGTTCTTCGCCGCGGAGACTTTATTCGATACCGTAGCGGCAACAATATTAGCCGTATTAATTAGATCTTTACGTACCGTACCGCTCGTAGTCTCTCGCTTTTTGTTACTATTACTATCGCTTAGATAGATCGCAAGGATCCGATACTATAGCTATCTGTCTATAAGCTTACTAACAAGCAGGTTACTATCGGCATTAACGGCATTAATAGCAATAAGATCTAGATAGTGCTAGTTATAGGACAAGGCCTTAATATAAGCAAAGGCAAGGCTACTATTAATATAAGAAGCAGTAACTATACCCTCTTCGTCGATTAGGACTTATAGTTCTTTTAAAGGTATAATATTAAGATATATCTAACAAGCACTATATAAAGCTAACTATATCTAGGTATATATATACTAAGATAATAATTTAGCTTAATTAGATATGCTTAGCTCTAGCCTAATAGTAGAAGATCTAATACTAAATTATTAATAGGTATAGCTAAATATCTATAGCTAGATATCGATTAAATATACCCTTTATATAGTAAGTTAACTTTAGTATCGCATTATACGCTTTACTAACTAAGATCTAGATACACTTTCTTTATACGGTCTTTCCTCTTTCTTTAGTAAGTCTAAAGCCTATACTCTTCTAATAACCGCTAACTTTAAGTATAGATCTCCTTTATACGAGTCGAGCGTTCTATTGCGACTAATATCCCTTTAACTACGATCGAACCGTCGTACTACGACCGAGCCTTCGCTACGACCGAAGCTCTTTATAGTATATTAACTAGAGCTTCTCGAATAGTAGGAACTTAGTAGATAGATAAATAGATAGCTAGATAGTAGGCATTATAGAGGCAGGGAAGCGAATAGGGTAGGCTAAGTAGCCTATATATAGTACTATAATCGAATGTATTAAGTTACTCGTATAATACCCTATACTAAATAGGCTAGAGTTTCTCGTAAGTGCTATTTATACTATATCGTTATTTAAACTATATAGTTGTTTGAACTGTCGAGGCCTAGCTCTACTATAGAGACCTACTTCTACTATAGAGACTAATTATTAGTAGCCTTAGCAAATAGTATATAGGCTATAATAGCATCTTACTATAAATAGCACTACCTAAGATATCTGCAGAAATGCTGTTATTATAACCTGCAGTTGACATAACTAGATCGCATATCTACAGTATATCTACGGTATAGAGTGCCCACATACCCCGCTAAGGAATAACGTAGATAGTCGTCCCGGACACAGGCGTGGCCCGGTGACACGATGATGCCTGAAAGAATGCCACGTGATCTTGTCACGCCGTATCGCCCGAGTAACTCGATTCTTGGAAATCAGTCATATAGCAGTGCACAACGCGCCTGTCCGCAGCCGTGACGACCTCTGCAGGTCGCTGCGCGACCCTCGAGGGAGTAGGGGGTAGGGGACGGCGACGGCGACGGCGAGGGAGGAACCGTGAAGGAAGAAGGAAGGAACCGTGAAGGGAGAAGGAAGGAACCGCTCTGCGCCAAGACCACACCACTCTACTCTCTCCTGCGCCAGACCACCTCCTTTCGTATATAACAATACGTCGCGAGTGGGTGCTTAACCTTCGCTGAATAGCATCAATCACTCTGCCAAATTTCGACAGATATGGCTTCTTCCAAAACCATACCATCATTTTACAGGATCTTCTTCCTCTACGTCGATCCACTCATTGCTGGCTCGGGAGTCTGCATGAACATCTTTACACCTCAAGTCAGCGTGGATGCCTTTGTGCCGGCTTCCATTTCGCCTTACAATACCTTACAGTCTACTCCTCTTTGTCATCAGATTGCAGGCGGGCTTCTCACCTGTGCTGTTCTGGATTTTACCCTGCTACGACGAACCAACGAAGTATGGATCTGGCAGGCTCAGCAGTACGCACAACTCGCCTACGACGTCGTGATATTATGGAGTATTTGGACATCTCTTGCCCAGCAGGACCGGCTCCATCTGGCTGGGCTGAGAATTGAGGATTGGGGAACGATCGTCATTGTGTTCGTGTGCGGTCTGCTAAGAGCACTGTTTTGCGCAAACGTTGGACTGAGATCGGCTGCGAGAGCAAAGAAGCGGAGCTGAGAAGTTTGACGCTTAGGCGTCTCGAGTGCCTTTACGCATGTGCGAGCGAGATCCTCTCAACTGGTACAGGCTGCTGAAAACGCAGGCATGACAACAATCGTACAGAATCTCCTGGTACGTGGAGTAAGAGTGTCAAATCGGCTAGCAGGAGATGTAAGAAGATTTTCTCAGATGTACATTGCGTTGAAATTGACAGCTGAAGAGCGCCTTATTCTCCTTGACGCTTGAAGCGTGGTCCTCATATGCATTTACGACATCATGACCGAGAGGATGGCCGAGCATGTCCAGCAGCTCGCGACAGCGGCGCTCGGATCTAGTGCCGAAGAAATATGATACTGCGAACTGCGTAGCATGCAGTGCGACTCAAGCCACATGCTCATTGCGCCTCATCGATACGAAGCTCAAGCTCAAAGCTAGCTGATGCAGTCCTTTGGAAACTTACGTTCTGAACTCCCTAAGAACACCTCCTTCTGACAAACGACCATGGTCAAAGGCGATGTACCCGTCATCAAGATAGCAGAACAGGCTCCTATGGACAGCGAAATCGATACCTTGGCAATGAAATATCGGGGCACTGCTGCAGACCAGCGGGACATGATCACTTTGGGAAAGACTCAACAGCTCAGGCGTAATTTCGATCTTATACCAATGCTCGGCTTCTCATCAACTGCAGTCACCAGCTGGGAAATCATACCTGTATTTCTGGTCTGGAGCCTTATTGATGGCGGCACGACGGTAGTCTTCTGGGGCCTTATGACTGGCGCGATCGGTGGCCTTCTAGGTTCACGATGGCTTTCGCACGTCTCGCCACGACTCAATATACCTCTCCGAGCGATCTGTGTCTCGTTCACAGTCAGCTGTCTGCTCGCTCTGATCAATATTGGCTTCTCAACGCCATCAGCTCACTGGGAGGCGTAGCTATCCTATTCTGATACATGGTCACCATTTCCTGCTTAATCTGGCGAAGGACTTGCGGCGCACCTCTGCCACCGAGGAAATGGAACCTTGGAAAGTACGGCCTGGCGGTCAATGTCGCCGCGTTGCCTTTTCTAGCGCCCATCATCTTCTTTTACTTCTGGCCATTGGCTCAACCAGTCACGCCTTCGAACATGAACTGGAGCTCGGTGATCTTCTCTGGTCTACTGCTGACTGCAGTGCTGTACTATCTCGTCAAGGCAAGACATGAGTACGTTGGACCTGTTATGCAAGTGAAAGGAGAGTGAAGTGCATGAATGATGTGTGGCACATTCTGCTTTACGAGCACCGCCACCGCCATCTAATGAGACACGACACGGTGGGCTTATATAAGGTTTGCGACAGGGCTAGACTGTTCACTGAAGTCATCAGATGAGAAGCTTAATTTGACGCGGACGCACTCTTTTCAGTCCTAGGATCATAGTAAACTCGTGCTGCCAACATCGATCGAATGAAGCGATTCTCTTCTTTCACCGGTTTAAACGCTTCGATGGACTCCCATCTCAGGACATGTCGAAGCTCGACCTGGGATGATATCCAGATCCAATGCACGGTGTGGCTTGACTCAGCCTCTAATGGCGCCGCCTACGTTGGTCCAGATCCGGAGAATACAAGACTATCTCGAAGACGACTCTCTTGACATCTCCTGGTTCACCCACGACGTGCTCAATACTGCAGACCTAGTCTTCGAAAGACGATGTATGGTATTTCCTCATCACTACAATTTCTCGCTTTGACGGGCATCCCAGCCGTAGCTCAATTTGCGTCGACAACGACGTTCACCTTCACTGGTGACACCTTACCGACTGGCCTTGTCGTATCCAATGACACCATTGACGACAGAAGCGGCGATTCATCAGCAAAATTCAATCATAAATTCAATCCTCAAAACGTCCAGATTCAAAATGGATTTCTTGAGCTTATCGTTCCTGGCGGGCAAACAATTAGCCCTTTGCAGTGCGCAGAAGTCTCTACGGATTTTGAAGTGCTCTACGCAAGCGTGTCCACGTATGCAATCTTGACCGATGAAGCAGGTGTCTGCAATGGTGAGCACTTGGACGATAAGGTATGCCAGGCCCGAGGCAACATTGACAATTCGTACTAGGCATGTTTTTCTACCATTCCGACAGCCAGGAAATCGATATCGAATGGATCAGTGACGCAAACTCCACCTCGAATCTTGACGCCAATAATGGCACTCGTGTAATGCAATATACCAACCAAGGACCACATGGAGAAGAAGACTCGTCTGAAGTGTATGGCCAAGCCGCTGCGGACGCTACGCTTGCTGTCCATGAATATCGTCTTGACTGGGTGAATGGAACAAGCAGTTTCTACCTAGACGGAGCCTTTCAGCAGCAGATCCAAACGAACGTGCCAAACACTCCGGGTAACTGGGTGTGGAATAATTGGGCGTGAGTTTTTTTTCTAGAAGGAAACGGATCAAGCTGACACCGGCACAGTGATGGTGATCCTGACTTCACTGTTGGCCCGCCGAAGAACGATGCAGTGTTTAGAATGCAGAAGATTGTGATGCGATACAACACTAGCGCTGATGATCAGCAGCAAGCAAACGCTACGGCATCGACAAGTTCTGGTACGCCGGGAAACAGCCAGCTGCAGATGGCGCTAATGTTGACTCTCCTTGGGAGCTGGGTTCTTCACATGATTTTGAGTGGTTAGAGGAGTCTGAAGGCTGCAAGTCCCGGAAAAGCCAGCTTGTCTAGTGGTGCAGCAGCAAACACCCCAGTTGTATACACCTAGGACAACCAACGTTGACTCACGGCCAATATTTGCTCTGGGTGCAAGTATGTATACATGGAAATTTCAGCGCCGGCAAAAGAACGTGGAGTATCTTTCCCATCATGGCTGCGGCTGATCCTTTCAATCTTGACCTCCATACGATGTCTGGCGAAGTCGAAGAGGCAGAGTATGATCGTCGGCATCCACCAAGAGCGCGGAATCGCAGGGAGGAGATCGAGCAGACGGAGGGAGTTATGATCTGGATCTACGAGGTTTCGCTTATGCTCTGCTTAGGGTACGTGGTTTGGAATGTGGTTGTGTTGCCGGCATGGTATTTGCTGCGGCTCTTTGGACGAGTCGTGGAGAAATTGTGGCAGATGATGTGAGGTCGGAGGTGCGAGCGGCACCACAAATCGAGGAACGATGGTGTGTTGAGGATCCCAGTAGGTGTGATGCAAGGCATGCGGAAGATCGGTCGCCCGGTACTCGTGTCGGTGAGCGAGCGAGCGCATCCACTTTGTGTCACCGCGTGGATGAGACGGTAACGTGGAAAGCACGACCATTTGGTTCCACAATAGCATCATGTCGGAAATGGCAGTGGCACTTGGAAAAGCAATGGATCTTGCCTGTCAATTCTGGTCCTGGTTGTGTTGGGCGAGCTCGAACTCGCTCCATCATTGCAACCCTATCGCGGTGCAGAAGCGTTACCACACAACAAGAAGTGGTATGAATTGATGTAGTAGTCGCACGATGCTATCGATGGCACGTCCTGCGATCGGGATCGACGAGGTGTGGTAGCATTCGCGCCTGCATTTCGGGATCATGCTGTTGCCAGTTGGCAGTGACTGGATGAGATGTGCCCTTGCCACGCCCACGAGCAGGCTGTGCTGTGCTTTCTGAGCTCAAGTAGGCATATATGACGCCTTGCGCGCGGCACTCAAACATGCTCGTCCATCACCATCCAACGCTCCATCATCTCACCAAACTATCTCACGAACTTTGCTTCCGCCACACAGAGAGCACCGCCATCTCTTCACTTTCTGCCGTAGCATCTGTTCCAACAGCCCGCCTTGCCGAAGTTCACTTCTCGCACCTATCGCTCGCCCACTCACTTCTCACACCGGCAGCCTTTTTACCTCACTTCCATCTTCGCAATGGTCGTGAGCGTCGTCATATCCTTCTTTGCCACATTCACCGCCATCCTCGTGAGCAACGTGTAGGAAGCAAGGAAAACGCGACACCAGGCGAAGCAACAGCTGAAGGAAAGTCGAGCGCGACAACAAGCGGTACTGAAGCAGGCCAAAGAGCGCGATTACGACATCCACAACGACTCTTTACCCGAGGGGTTTGAGATAGTCGAGGATTACGACGGACCTAGAGGAAGATCACCTACACCACGTTTCAATCCAGGAGCAATCACAGCAAGTGCTACCACGCCCGCCTTCTGAGCTCATCATGCCAAGCATGCGCCATCTCGCAGCGCTCGGCGCGTCCATGGCCGTCGCCTGTGCTCTTTCTCTGCCGCAGGGAACGACAGGCCCATCGGGCGGCTTCTCTCCTTATCCGCAAAACACGAGCATCACCTACTACAATGGTCTGTCCGCCGCTGCAGGAGCGGATCTTGGCGCTGTCCATGAGCTGTCATCCAGCGCCGTCCAGACGACTTGCGGCAAGGCTGTGGGTGAGGACGTCATCCAGGTGCGTTTCCTGAAATCAGCATTTTGCGAGGGCTTCCTGCTAACCAAGATCAAGTCGCTGTACTGTACGCCTCTAAGGTATAGTGGAGTCGCCATCGCACAAACCGTCAATGGCAGCTGCACCTTCACCCTGTTTTCTGATACGGACAGCTGCTCTCTGCTCGGACAGGGTGCCGGCGGCGCGATGGGCTTCGGTTACAACAAGCATGTCATCGTTATCCCCAACGGAGATGAGTCGACTTGCATCGCGACTGGTGTGGGTGGCGGAGGAACGGCCAGCGGTGTCTGGGCGTGTGGATGAGGTTGAGTGTGGTGAGATATGCTTTCCGGGGTCAAGGGTGTCTCGAGATGGGTGAAGGAAAGCAGCAGGCACTTTCTTCCCTTTCTCTCATCAATGGTGATGGATGGAAGACATGTAATATACACCTAATGGAAATGTGATGGGGAAGACAAGTGAAATTCCTTCCGTTGCCTCGAGTAGTTCGTCCGGCGTTGCTCAACCGTGGTAGGGGTGGGCACAGGATAGGCGAGGTTTCTGCCGGGCCAGACTTTTTGATATGCAAGGCACCCTCGTCTGCAGGTCATGCGGTTGCCGACGTCGGTCCCAAAGATTTTTGCAGACGCCTGAACCCAAACTTCCTGAAGGACGAAATTCGTAGTGTGCCTGCCAAGTTGCCATCAAGTCGCTTGCTGGACAGGTGGCTTGCTGGTGAGGTGTTGGGTGTCGGCTAGGGACGTGAGATGGTGTTTGCAAAAGGGCCGCAAGAAGGGCCGAGGGCATTGGAGGGAGCAGAGTAAAGAGTGTTGACTGCGGACGCCGCTTCCCGACTCCGCATGGGGAGAGCATGATGCATGAGCATGGATGTCAGCGCTCGACAGCTTTCTGGTGGGCGCTTGGGCTTTGCAGCTGGAATATCGTTGTTGACCAGCGGCCGCGGCATTGGGCAGAGCAGGGCAGGGCAGGGCGGGCGGAACAGCTCAACGAGTCTCGCTACTTGGATACATCTGCCACTCTCATCGGTCTACATATCTGCGCATACCACAGTCGTTGCCGTGTGCAAATTGGGTGTCTCGAAGCACAAACAACAAAGACCAAAAAATCCCGAGCTTTCGCACGTCATTTGCCCGCAAGCTCCGACACAGACACCGACACTCACCACCCACCCAACCACCCTCTCCCTCTCTCTCGAGCCTCTCCATTAATAAGTGAAGCAATTCCACTGCATCACTTCCCTCCCCTCCCCTCCACCTTCCGCAGTCCAGTGCACCTTCCACACCATCCACGTGCTGCAATCAGTACCCGGCACACTGGGAGTCTGTCGTCTGGATCGGACTGATCAATTGCTTCAAGGTATGCTCAACTCCCACTCCCCAGTCCACAATCCCCAACACCTCCGCACACCGATTGTGGAGGTGACCCAACGCCGTGCATCGCTGCATATCTAAGCATCCACCCGCCCCGCCAATTCGCGGTGGCAGAGCACGCAGCTCTTTCAGGCCCGCGTTGACCTCCACTGACTTGTATTCCCAAGACACTGTCCGCCCGAGACACTCCTCTCACTCACAACATCATAGCCTCGCCCTTCCCGTCCGCTCCAGTCCTTACCAATTGCTTTGCACCACCCGCATCCTTCCACCATGGCCGACGAACCCAAGCGCGACGTGCACAACCACGTGCTGTTCGAAGTGGCTACCGAAGTTGCCAACCGAGTCGGCGGAATCTATAGTGTGCTCAAGTCGAAAGCCCAGGTGACGACGGCCGAGTATGGCTCCAGCTATACCCTGCTGGGTCCGCTCAATCGAGCTTCCGCAGCTGTGGAAGTGGAAGAGGTCGAGCCTAGAGATCCAGCTCTGATTGCAACAATCAAGAGCATGAACGAGCGCGGCATTCAGACCCTGTACGGACGATGGCTGATTGATGGAGCTCCGCGAGTATTGCTGTTCGACACTGGCACTGGCTACTACAAGCTCGATGAATGGAAAGGCGATCTGTGGTCCACCGCCGGCATTCCCAGCCCTCCCGATGACCACGAGACAAACGAAGCCATTGTATTTGGTTACTTGATCGCCTGGTTCCTGGGAGAGGTGAGTTGTGAACTGCCAATATTTTGCTGCAATCCCAGAATGCTGACACGACAAAGTACGTCTACCACGAGAAGGAGCGCGCAGTCATTGCACAATTCCACGAATGGCTAGCGGGTGTTGCTCTCCCTCTCTGCAGAAAGCGAAAGATCGACGTCACCACCATTTTCACCACCCACGCGACATTGCTCGGCCGATACCTCTGCGCCGGATCCGTCGATTTTTACAACAACCTGCAGTACTTTGATGTGGATGCCGAAGCTGGAAAGCGTGGCATCTACCACCGATACTGCATAGAAAGAGGCGCCGCACACTCCGCAGATGTCTTCACCACCGTTAGTCATATCACGGCCTACGAGAGTGAGCACTTGCTGAAGCGGAAACCGGATGGTGTCTTGCCAAATGGTCTCAACGTCAAGAAGTTCTCCGCAACCCACGAATTCCAGAACCTGCACCAGATGAGCAAGGATCGCATCACCGAATTTGTACGCGGTCACTTCTACGGCCACAACGATTTCGACCCCGAAAAAACTCTCTACTTCTTCACAGCTGGACGATACGAATACAGAAATAAGGGTGTTGACATGTTCATCGAGTCGCTGGCTCGTTTGAATCATCGCATGAAAGCCGCCGGCTCGGATATGACTGTGGTAGCCTTCTTGATCTTCCCTGCACAAACACAATCCTTGGCAGTCGAAGCGCTCAAGGGTCAGGCAGTGGTCAAGTCGTTGAAAGATACATTGGGGCACATCGAGAGGAGCATTGGCAAGAAGCTGTTCGAGAAATCCATCTCGTGGCATGAAGGCCAGGATCCACCGGATGAGAAGGATCTCTTGAGCCCTGCGGACAAGATCATGCTGCGCAGAAGATTGTTTGCCATGAAGCGACATACTCTACCCCCCATCGTCACACACAATCTGGTCAACGACACCGAAGACCCAATCCTCAACCAATTGCGACGCTGCCAGCTTTTCAACCACCCATCAGATCGTGTCAAAGTCATCTTCCACCCCGAATTCTTGAGTTCAGGCAACCCTGTACTCCCAATGGACTACGATGACTTTGTGCGAGGAACACACATGGGTATTTTCAGCTCGTACTATGAACCTTGGGGTTATACACCGGCTGAATGTACCGTCATGGGTGTACCATCCATCACCACGAATCTTTCTGGGTTCGGCTGCTATATGGAAGAACTGATCGAGAACGCGGCGGATTATGGCATTTACATCGTTGATCGGAGACTCAAGGGGGTGGACGATAGCGTAAACCAGCTGGCCGAGTTCATGTTCGAGTTTACCAAGAAGAGCAAGCGACAACGCATCAACCAGCGAAACCGAACCGAGCGCTTGAGTGATCTTTTGGACTGGAAGCGAATGGGTATGGAATATGTCAAGGCACGCCAGCTTGCCCTGCGACGAGCGTACCCAGATAGCTTCCAGGATGGAGAGGACGAGCCAGGCTTCTTCGATGGAACGGAGAACATTAAGATTACCCGACCGCTGTCCGCACCTGGCAGTCCAAGAGACCGGAGTGGCATGATGACTCCAGGCGACTTCGCTTCGATCCAAGAAGGGCGTGAAGGACTCAGCACCGAAGACTACATTGCGTGGAAGCTTCCCGAGGAGGTAAGATGAGCTTGGAGAGTGGAAGTGGACATTGCTGACAGCAGGACAGGAAGAGCCAGAGGACTACCCATTCCCGCTCACTCTCAAGCAGAAATCGAAACAAGGCCTGTCAGCGAGTGGCGCTGAGCAAGGTCTCGCTGGGAGCGGAACGGCTACACCGACCATGGTCAATGGGAATGGTAATGGTGCGTCCATACCACAATCCACACCACTGCCAATTCGTGAAACGCTCCAAGAGCAATAGTACTGACGGCGTGCAGCTCCCTCATAGCCCTTTACGAAGTGTCATGTGAGAGGAGAGGCCGAGGAGAGATTGGAACGAAGGTTGTGAATCGGATCATCAGCACGATCACTTGTGCATGCATACAGCATTGCATTAGTCTGAGATGTTTTTGTACGGGCAAGTAAAGATGGGATATTGCGACGTTGGTTGACATCGAGCGCGCCTATTCTGTATTCACGTGTAGTCATATCCAAAAGGGAGGCGAATCTGATATTGGGTCATCTGAATATTCAGGCAGGCGCATCTCCTTTTATCCTGGTCGTCCTTGGACAAAAGCTTTCGGGCCGACGGAGGTCCATGTTCTTCTGAGAACCTCATCTCTTTAATGATTCCAACCACCTTCTTTGCTTCTCCGACATCCAATGCTTCATCGCACACAAAGAAGCCATGCTGTAACGTCGCCCGAGCTTTGTCTTGATCATGCTGGACGGATTTGCGAGATCTCGCATGTGGGAAGGCGCTTCGCTTGCGGCTGTCGGCACCAAGACGGGCGTGACTATTCATAAACCTGCCCTGGTTATTCGTAGACCGCGGACCGAGAGCCGGCTCCGGCCTCGGTGAGACTACATTGCTAGTAATCTATACTGTAGAATATCGCAATAGAGGCCTCTAGTGCTCTCGTTGGCGCTAAGTAGAATTATAATATAAGAAAGAGGAACTAAGTAAATAATAGATATAGAACTAGACAATATAGCTAATCCTAACTATTCTAGGCATACTGCCTACCTAGCAAATAAGGTTCTACGACCCTCGTATTAACGTATAGCTCCTACTATACGATCTTAGTATATTCTAGTATTACTACTAGCGCTATAAGTACTAGTAGAGCCCTTAGAGCGGGCGGAGGTCCTTCCTAAGTAGGTAAATAAGTAGATATAGGGTTTCTATCGTACTGCCTATGCTTATAATAGCTAGAGTAGCAGTCTACGTTATCTTTAACATACTTGTACCTCCTATAGGCCGTTTTGTATATACAGCCCTTATATAAACGTTCTCGTAGTACTAGTAGCGGTAGAATAGGCCTCCTAGGCTCGGCCTATCTTATCGCTTCTTACTAGTTAATAGCGGCCTATCTAGCGGCCTATCTAGCGGCCTGTCTAGCAGCCTATCTAGCGGCCTATCTAGCGGCCTATTTAATTAGCTTAGGTCTAGTAGCCTTACGCCGAGTTGTACGACTAAGCCGCTTATTAATCCGCTTAAGTAGCTCTAAGGTATAGTAAGTAGTTGTCTCGTTGCTATTATAATCGCTCCGTAGTACTCGCTAGTGCTTCTCGAATATACGAATAGTAAGAATGCCGGTTATAGACTCCTTAAGGGCTAGTATCTAGTATATACAATTTAAGCTATAGACTCTTCGATAATACTAGGTACAATCTAATAGCCTATAACTATTAGACTTCCGCTTCTCGAGCTCGGCGCGTACGAGAGCCCTTCGCTCGGCTACTTTACGTAGAGCGAAGGTACTAATATAGCTAACAACTTTAGCGTAGAATAGATCGCTTAAGAATAGTATAGCAGGTCGACTAATCTCGGCTCTAACTATAAGCCTATAGCGGTTAACTTAGTGCTAGAAGTAGGGCACTATCCTATTAATAAAGCTATAGATATCGTTCTTATAGGTCGTTAACTATGCCTTAATACTAGCGTAATAACCTTCTACTAGCGAGGTTGTTATATTGCTATAATGCCGCGTCCTATTAATCTAGTATTTAATATAGTGCTATCGATAGACCTACTATATATTAGCTATATAGCTAGCTAGCGATTGCTAGTCTTTATTGTCCGAGTAGTCGCGTATAGGCTCGCCTTTACTAGCGGCAATCTTGCCGTTCTCGAGGGCCTTCGAGTTAGTTATAAACGACTTAACCGACAGTAAGTTAATAGCCTTGTTAAATAGGTCTATAAAGTCCTATACGGCTATACTTAATAGCCTACGCCTTATAGTTAGATCCGGCGGTCTAGTACTAAGGAAGGCCTTCGAATTAGCCTCTACTACGCGTCTAATATACTAGCGGTAGAGCTGTATATATAAATAAGTCTAGTCGCTTGCTAGCGCCTTTATTAGTGCCTTGTTATAGTTATAGATTATAAGGCGAGGCTCTTTATAGGTGTGTTCTGCTAACAACTCCTACGTATACTAAATAGCAATTAAATACTGCTTAGTCGCCTATCTAGGCATAAAAACTAGTGCTAGAGGGAAGGTTTAGTTAAACTAATTAAGTAAGGCAATTACAAGCAATAGTATACTATATTTGTTAGTTTTGTAGGTGCAATCTATAACTATAATATCCGGACAATTCTTATAGATATTAATTATCTTAGGGTACGAGAAATATAGCTATTCTAGCCGTTACTTACTACTTAGTCTAGTGCTAATGCCCTTCTATACGAAGTAGTTCTATTATAGGAGGTCCTTAATCGTCTTATCGACTACTAACTTGCTAGCAAGTCGCAACTTCTTAGCCTTTTGCTAGGCATTTAAGATGTCTCGTAAAGTAGTAGGTATAATAGGCGATTGCTAGTCTCTACTACTAAAACGGAGCTTAATAGCAGCCTTAATCTATCGATTGCTAACGCCTATAGACCTTAACTGTAATATAGCCTCGACAATCTCTATCGTACGAGCTCTTCGGCGGTAGTTAGCTAGTGCTATCGGATAGACTACTAGATAGTTATAGTTAGAGCTATTCTATAAGACAGACTAGTAGCTATCGTCCGGATTATGCTAATCCTTAGTAGCGAGGGTTACAGACTATAGGTAATCGCATAGCTTAGAGTAACCTTCTCGTATCTTTGCTATTAGATTAAGCTACCGCCGTGCCTCTCGTTTGTCTTTTATTGCTTTCTGTTAGGATACGCTCTATAGAGCGGAGACGGACACGATTCTAGTATACAAAGATAATTAATTGTTCGTTAGTTACTAGCCTAGGAAACTATATATATTAATCGTCCTAATCTACGGCAGGATCGATAGTATCCGAAGTAGGATCGGCCGTACTACTGTCTAAACCGTAACAACCTCCTCCCTAAAAGGAAAGACTTGTACGCCCTCGTATATAATACGCCGCCTAATACTTCTTAGTACTATATCCTATTGCTCGTATCGTAACAATGCTAATGCTAATGCTTATACTATTTGTACTATATCCTATTAATCGTGTGCTAATGCTTATACTAATAGGTAACTTCTATACTATATCCTATTAATCGTATGCTAATACTTATACTAATAGATGCTTTCTACTACGCTTAGGGGTAGATAGCGACCCGTCGTCGGCCTAGGTATTAAGGGCGTCGCGCTTGCGCTTGCACTTCGACTCTAGAGTCTCTATAGTAGACTCTAGGCGGGTAATAGTCGGTAGCCCGGTAGCCTTCTTACGGAGGACGTACAAATCCATTTCCTTAGCGATGCTATTATAGGGGCCTATAACCTTAGCTATATGCGTAGTAGTCTCGAGGGAGGTATCTAGCGCTATATTAGGCATTATCTTCTCTATAAGCTCGCTAAAATCGATTAAGCTATCGGCGTAGCGAGCGTCTAGGCCTAAAGCGTACTTGTCGAGGTATTAATCGGTTACTTCCTATAGGCCGTTAATCTCCGCTTCGGTAGTATTACTAACGCCGCTGCCGAGAATTGCTAGCGAATTAGCTAGAACTAAGGCAGCGGTAGGTAGGTTATCGGTAGAACTACGGAGGAAATCGTCTACGAGGAGCGCTATATTCTGCTTACCGGTCTAAAGTGCGACCTAGGCTACTACGCGGTTCTACGTAGCTATTACTAGTATTGCATTCCTGCTATCCTTTATCTGCGCTATAAGGTCGTTATAGTGTTTAGCCTATCGATATATATAGAGTGCGTTCTAGTTAAGGATGCGATTAGTAAGCATCGTCTAGTTAACTACTAACTATAGGCGACTACTAGCGCTACTTAGAGCGTACGGTAGTAGGGTCGGCAGTAGCGGCAATTTGAGGTCTATCTACTTAATCGAGCTAGAGAATACGGCGATATTATCGGCGTTGCTACTCGTCTTACGCGGCGGAGGCGGTAGCGGCGGCATAGTATAGTTACTGCCTACGCGAGGTCGTACGCGGCCGAGCTTATTAGAATCTAGCTGTTTGTTAACGCGACCGCCTTATAACCCGTTATTTTAGTTTTACGATAGAGGGGGGGCGGCCTAAGGTAGAATCTTACTAAAAGTAACGGCGTTCGTAGTATCGCTCTCGTCCGGCTTATAGTCTTTATCGGGAACAAGGTAGAAGGAAACCGGATCCTAGGTCTCGTCGACGTTATACTAATATACGCTCTTATTACGATCCGCGAGCGAATTAACTACGTTATCTCTTATAGCTACTAGTACGAAGGCGTTAGGCACCGGTTGCTTATTTATCTTCTTCTCCGGCTAGTTCTTTAAGATTCCTAAGGGCACTCTAAAGCTAGCGGGTAGGTTCGCTATAATCTTGTCTATATAGGCCTTAAATAGGTTACTTATATAGTCCTTATCTCTAAAGGATAGCTATACGATCGCGTCCTAATCGACGGCAATCTTCTTATCGAGAGTAAGTATAGGGATCTTCTTAAGTTTAGTCTTAGCGTAGCTTATATACTTGCGATATCCTACTAGAACCTAAGGATATCCGTACGATTTGTGTGTTACTATATCGTCGTATATTTTGTTAGGGTCGACTAGGTCGGCGGTATAGCCCTCTTCTCGTAGGGAATAGACGCCGTATACGTAGACATAGCGCTAATAGTAATCCTTAACGTCCTAAGTAACCGCTAGTTCGCCTAACTAGCGACGCTACGGCAATAGGAGCTTTTAAGCGTTAAACGTCGTTAACTAGTATCGCTATAACTATTCGGCGCTAATAAGGCTAGCGACCTTTATATATATTAGTATATAGACGCATCGGTCGCTAATTTGCGCGTTTTCTAGAGGGAAGCGAAGCGTAGAGAGTCGACCTATAATAGGGTCGAATAGGAATTAGTAGACTAGAGCGTTAGTAAGATCGGCCTTACTACCCTTTTCCTAGGCAATTCTCGTACTAACCTTACGGTCGACGCCTCGGATATAATAGATAATATCCGAACTATCGATAGCGCGGGTATATAGGGCAGAGCGTCTATTGCCTATAATAGCGACGATATAGTCGAACGGAAGTGTCTCTTCGACCTAGTTATAGGCTATAATAAGTAGGAGCGCTAGTAGATACTATACGTTTTATATAAATTAACGGACGGCGAGACCGATCGCGCGATATCGTAGAGCCGGTAGTTACGCGAAGAAGCGGTAGTCGGTTAGAGGCTAATCGTCGATAGCGTCCGGTCTATAGCGCAAGTACGCGGACTAAAACGTTACTAATCGCGGGAAAGTTTATTAGCAAAATAGCGGTATAGCAAAATTCGAGGTATAGTTAGCGATTATAGCTATTTTAATAGCGTTAATATATATTAGGGTGCGTTCCGCTATAGGATCGGTATAATTAGGAAGATCGTGCTCGTTGTC